TAATTGGAACTCTTGAAAAAAAAAAAAGGCAATAATGATGATTAGATTGATGATTGTGTAGAAGAAAGCCTTGATTGATTTTAAGGTAATTTTAAACATATTTAGAGGTGGTACCTTGTCGTCTGGTTTCCTCCAGTTTTGACCTGGATGATCATTGGACACATCATATTGTCCTTCAGTGAGACCCTATTTACTTATGTGTCCCTCTGCCTCTGCAATGGACACCAAAAGTCTGGTTCGTACTCTCAAGAGTATTTAGTTCAGGCACACTTGTTAAGCTGAACATATGTAGCTGGGCATGAGTCCAAGGTTGTAATTGCATGGATGAACCTTTTCAATAAGCTGTGAACTAATGCATTTTTTTAACCGAGATTGATGCTGTGATGTTTAATTCCATTTGCAATCCAACGAACAATTCAAGTGACTAACCACAGGAGTGGTACTTGTATATTTATGAGGTTTAAGGTTGATTTTTATTTTTATTTTTATTTTCTCAATTTGTGGAGTGGGGAAGTCATACATCTCTTGATTTAGAGTTTAGTTTTTATCAAAATTAGCTGAATTCATCTTGCAAGGATTTTCTTGGAGGCATTAACAGTTTGTAAGTGTCAAATGCTCTAAACAACGCGTAAGGCATCCAATTTGACACTTGTCTCCGGAGTAATACCCAAAATAGTTTCAAAATGAAAGCCAAAGTCAAGCTTCGAATTGCCAGGTCACTGGATGGATCCGCAGAACAGATTTAATAATTAAGAAGGATGTTGTGGAACAGATAGTAATTAAAAGGAGGTTTAGGAGTGTTGTAAAAATTATTTTTTAAAGTAAAAAATATTTTTTATATTTTTAAAAATTTATTTTTGATATTAATATATCAAAATAATTTAAGAATATTAAAAAAAAAAATTGAGGTTGAAACTCACTTATAAATACACTGAAGGCAATCACTATTCTACACCTCCCGCCCCTCGTCGTCAACTACTTCTTCCTAACGTTAATGGGTAAATTTCATACCTTAGTAAGGTTACAGAAGTCCATAAATCAAGAAACATGGATTCAGAAATATCAAGAACCTCTCAGAAGAGGGTTATTATACCCGTGCTAGGGACAGCCTTGGCAAAAATGCCCTCTTGTATATTTCACCTGTCTCTGTCTCTTCCAACGGCCCCTTGTTTCTGTTGGCGAGTTCAAGACAATCAAATGGTTACAAAAGAACAAAAGAGACACATTTATAAACACCCATTTACTAGTTTGGCTGATTTGAGGTTCAAAGCTTAGTTTTTTTATCAAGTCCGATGGGTAAATTGGAAGAGATAGGAGCTGATATTTGGTAAGTTATTTTTCAAAGTTTTGATCGTTTTCTGGTGTTCTACAGAAAGTTTACAGTTTTTGGATGTTCTTACGTTGTAGTACTTGCTACCTGTTTATTTCTTGAATTAGACTTGAGGGTCTATTTTGTTAGGAGAATTTTAGCTGGTTTTTGAATGATTTTGAGATGTGGGTAGATTTTGGAATGCAAGATAGAATTTTGGTTTTCATTTGGTGGAAATTCTATTGATTGTTTACGAAATTTGAGATTATGAGAAGAGAGTAGAGGGATTGTTTCTTTTTGGCAGAATTTTTCTGTGTTTTTGTGATTTTATTTGTTTGATTGCTTGGAAAACATTAGTAAAGAAAATTGGAGTGTTAGGTTTTTGGTTTTTTTAGATTAAAATATCCAATTTGATCTATCTGTGAGCCTCATATAACCATTTAGCTCGGTTTAGATTAGTAATTTTGTTTCTTGTTTTGAGAGCAAAACATGCTACTTTGTGATGATCAAATGTTAATGTTAGTTGTCAAGTTTCTTGTGAAGTCTGATGGTAGCCACGTGGTTGAGCTATTTTAGTATAATCAGCTGGGCATTGGAACACCTTCTGATGCTCCATGATTCTTTGACTGACAGCTTAGACATTGAAGTTGATGACATAAGGTGCGAGAATATTGCTGAGAAAGATGTTGGTGATGAAGAAATTGGGGCAGAAGATTTGGATATTGCTGAGAAAGATGCTAGGATGTGGAAGGATCATGTCAAACTCAAAAGGATTAAGGAAAGACAGAAGCTTCAGTGCAACTAGCAGAGAAGCAAAAGCTGAAGCAGATTTATGATCTCGCTAGGAGGAAGAAAATGTCGAGAGCCCAGGATGGAATTCTCAAGTGTATGTTGAAGTTGATGGAATCATTCCAGAGAAGGGTAAGCCAGTAAGTGGTGCATCTGATAACATAAGAGCTTGGTGGAAAGAAAAAGTGAAGTTCGATAAGAATGGGCCAGCAGCCATAGCAAAGTATGAAGCAGAGTGTTCTGCTATGGGCGAGTTAAATGAGAGTAGAAATAGGAACTCCCAAAGTGTTCTTGAAGACCTGCAAGATGCAACTTTAGGATCTCTTGTCTTGTTTGATTCAGCACTGCAATCCCCCTCAAAGGAAGCATCCATCAGAGAAAATGAATCCACCACCTTGGTGGCCAACTGGAAATGAAGATTGGTGGCTAAAACTAGGACTACCCCAAGCTCAGAGTCCTCCATATAAAGCGTAATAAAGCATATAAAGCGGAACCTCATGATTTGAAGAAGATGTAGAAAGTCGGAGTGTTGACTGCTGTAATAAAGCTTATGTCAACTGATTTCGCAAAAAACAGGAGGCATGTCCATCAGTCAAAGTGCTTACAGGATAAGATGACAGCGAAGGAGTGTGCAATTTGGCTTGGGATTGTTGAGTCTAGAGGAATCCCTCATTGGGAAACCTAGCATTGATACTGGCCATCTGTCATAATTGAAAGACCTCAAGGTGGCCATGGTCAAATAAAGAGTCCTGCTATTAGTTGTGATCGTGATTATGATGTTGATGATGGTGTGGGTTCTGTTTCATCAAAAAGGTAATAGGAGAAATCAACTGATGGATATTGAGCCAGTGAACAGTCAAAATCATGTCCAAGATACCGAACTAGGGGAAAGGCAGCTTGGGAGAAAAAAGCCCCTGGTGAGGTCAAGTGATGCTGATGAACAGCTTGTACTGCCTCTGAATGATAATTCTGGAGCCGTGCAGAGAAACTCGTTGTCTGATACAAATCACACCGATTTACAGCCAATTGAGTATCATCAGATGCATGAAACCAAGCAGGACAGCTTTAAAACTATAGCTTAGAGGCCTCTGAAGAAAGATCTTTCTGGTGAGTCCAACCTATCCCCATCTGACTTTAGCTACATTTCTGCCATTCCCTTTGCCAAAGTCAATTCTTCACACAGAATTTATGCTGATGCAGGGCCTGTCTCTTGTCCTTCCCAACAAAATCTAGAGTTGCATCACAAAACTATCCATAGTACTTTCGATGATCCATCTCTTGATTGTGGGACTAATCATGATGACCAGCATTCTCAGGTGAGAACGGACATTCATCGAGAGAATGACAGATTCCTTATACCAGCACCACATAGGAATGAAAATGAGATGACTGGTGGACGATCGCATCATCTTGCCAAAGATACACTTCCCACCGAGCAAGGCAAGTCTGTCGATAAGTACTTTGAGTCTGCTGACTTGGAAGATTTTGCTGCAACTAGCAGCCCATTTCCTGACTTGTATTTGTTCGACTTCGACATTTCCGGTGATGATTCCATCCCTTACCTTGTTTCCTAGTTCTGCAAAGTGATACTTCAAATCATAGATTGTATGTGACATTTCTCCCTCATCGGCAGGCCAAATTACTGTTGCAAGAGTTTCGACGCTCGGAGTCTCCTCTTTCCCTTACCATGATTTAGGGGCTTAAAAAATGCAGCATTCGTTCCTATCCTTGGTGAAGAACATAACATAGGATTAGCAAAAATTAAAGCAAGCAAAGAACATAACATAGGATCGACTTTCTTTTACCAAACTGTGTCCCTCCTTCCATAAATTCTCATTCCATCTATATTTGATCATGGATTCCATTAAAACAGTACCAAGTTTGTACCTTATTTTAATAGTAACTAACTTTGATTTCATTTTCAAAACCCTTATTGATAATCTCTTATATTGAATGTTAAAGTATTTGATTCTTATATTTAGAGACCAGCAGGGGAGTTGGTTCATAAGTGATACCGACACTTACCAATAAGCTAACTAGTCATGAATTGCATGCTTCTTAAACTCATGCCAGTTTAATAGGCCGACTAAGAAAACTTCCGATCCAGAACTAGAAATTGATCTGAAACTTGATCTTACATTTCAAGTTAAACCAAAAAAGGATACTAAACTCATGCCACTTAAATAGGCTGAATGTAAAAAATATTTTTAGTAATTTAATTAATGTAATCAAACCTGAAAAATTATTTTATAGACAAAAAAAAAAACAAAAAAAAAGTCACTCGGATTGATTCAATGACCCGCAAGGTTCGGTGACTATGGCATGAGCTGCCCTCTCCAAACGACACAGACATCATCTCACCACGTGGCATCAAGCTCTCTCGCCGCCAGTTTACGTACCAGGTAGGATGTTTGTCTTGATATGTGCCAACTGTAGAAACATACGAAACTGTCCTGAATCATCCTTGTAACTGGGTCCCTTAATCTTATAGACAATCCTACCCCCGGACCTTTACTACTTTAACCGCTGGTCATTATTAAATTTCATACCCTTTTAAGGGTTACAGAAGTCCATAAATATCATTATATTTACACCCTGTAAGATAGGATACTGGTTTTGAATTTTGATCTTTAACACAAAGACCATGTAAAAGAAAGCTTTGCTGCATACTTTGCTTTGATCTATCTTCAAAACCCTTTTCCTTTCTTTGTCTTGATTGTTAGCTTTGGTTAAGAAGATAAAAAAAAAAAAAAATCTTTCTTTCTTCTCCAAAGATTTAGAGCCGGCAAAATGGCATTTGGAGATGGTCTCTCAAGGTTTTCATCGATCTCCATTGCTTTGATCATCTTGACCTTTGTTTTGATGCCATTACTCCATTCCTCTCGTTCCTGTAAGCTCAAAATCATTCCTTTCTTTCTGTCTCTTGTTCAAGTTCGAATCCTTTGTGTTTGCTTAGCTAGTTTAAATATACAGTTTACTAATATGGCATGTAATCTCATCATGTTTGCAATGCATGAAACAACGTACAGTAGCAGCAGGAAATAGAGCCAGAGCTTCAGCACAGGTAATGCAAAAAGATACCACTTTTTCACCAATCCAATCCTCAAAGGAGAAAACTTTTATGTCTTTCTTGGGTTTTCAAGGGTTTTCTCTCTTTGGTCCCCTTTTCTTAAACTTCTTCTTCTTTGGCTCTTAAATACAGGATATTCATCAAAGTTATAAGATCACAAGAATGGGGAAGGGAGCATCAAGTTTAGTCACAGATGAGGAGTCAGAGAGACAAGTACCAACCGGACCAGACCCTCTTCACCACAACAACAACCCAACTACAAGACCATGATGATACTAACAGCTTCTCTTAAACCCTTTTTTAATGGATCTTCCTGTCACAAAAATGGAGGGCTTCTCACCACTCGTGTCTCTTCTTCCACTTTTGATGTGATCACCAGAAAGAGCATGGAAATGGATGTTTAAACATTAATTAATTTTAGTTAACACATGAACGATTAGTTTTCTAATTAATGATCTTTGAGCTAATGTTGATTATGATGTATTCTGTTTTTATCCAAAAAAAATTAGTGAAGACAAGAAATTGAGGCATAAATAGCTCCAAAAATTATTTTGCATTTGTTAGCTGTCTTCGTACGATTCAGATGTTGTTCCCTGCTAGCCTTCGACAATGGACATGGTAGGGTTATCAATATTGTCTCATGGGTTTTTGATGGTCTCCGACGTGCACATGAAAATTCAAAGTTCAGTGGTGAGTAAATCAAAACAATATTATTTTAAAAAAAATCATGATAATTTTTAAAATTATATTAAGTTTTGACCTAATCAATTAAATAGTAATTGATTTTTTTTACACTACTTAGATCAAGCATGATCGAGTCGGAGTTTTTGACTTCTGATTTGTCTTAGAATATTGTATTGAATACACTGATATAAATATGGATACGAACATGAATATTGATACCAATATCAGACCATCCTAATAATATAGGAGCTAATTACGGGATTTACGTGACCTTGTAAGAGAATGTGTATTCGATTGTATAGTCCATAGTTTTGGGGATGTTTTTCATTAATTAAAAAGATGAAATAAAACTTGTTCTCGTGTGTATTATTTGGAGATCACCTTTGTTTGAAGTTGAGTTTTTCTTCTCTTTTTCATGCCTTGGAGCTACTTAAGAATAACTTTGGAGTGCAAAGGTAAAAGGAACACACAAATAAGAATAAAGCCTTGTGTGTACTATATTGTTCATGAATTAATTGTGTGTTTGGTGTTTTTCTTGGTGTGTTTTAAAAGTTTATTTTACTTGAAAATTAATATTTTTAGTGTTATTCAATAGTTTTGATTTATTGATCCTAAAAAAAATTTATAATTTAAATTAATATATTTTCAAGTAAAAAATACTTTTATAAAATACTATAATATAATACCAAGCAAAAGCTTAGATATTTTTGTATTATATAATTGTGACACTACTTTCCTTTCATTTTGTTTTTGCATATATATATATATATATATATAGGGCTAAAAGTACTCGATTCATGAAAAAGAAAACATATGTTTATAATGAATTTAGCCCCACCTTGTCATTTTCATGGGAGAGGGAATACCATGTAAGTCCTTGCATGTTGTAATGCAAAGGATGTGTTAATTTCTGTAGTAGGTCCATGCCCATTGGCATGAGACTAAGAGACAAGATTCATAAACTTAGAGAACAAAGCCACGCAGCTCATTCAAGCCCACTTAGTCTTCATGAAGATATTTAGGAATTTTTGGGAACCTAGAACAGTAATTTTCTTCTAGATAAAATGGCATGAACAAAACAATAATTAGGAAATGAGCACACTTAATTGAGTTATAAATAATATTTGTAACACTGAATTGCATTTATTATATGTAACTTGAGAGTTGCAAATTTTAATTTGTGATATATAAGTCACAGATATTATTTGTGATTTAATTAAAAAATACATCTTTAAGTATTATTTTTTGTCATTAAATCCGTACAAAAAATTCACAATTCACATAATGCTAATAATTAGTTTTTTAAACACACTCTTAAATTTTATAAGTAATGTTTATGTATAATTAGGTTGTACCTAACTTTAACCTCAACTTCTGTTATATTTTATTAAATAAATTTTAGTATGACGAGTTTATATGAAAAATGCATTATCCAAAATTTAATTAGAATTAAGTTTTAAATTAAAAAATAATAATGATTTAACAAAATTCACAGGTTATGGATAGATTTTTAATGATATGGTTAATCATATTGAATCTAATCAAAATTAACAATATCAATTTAAAAATAAAAATTGATTTAGATTGATATAATAATTTATTTAACTCGTAATCTTTTCAAGATTTATTTCCAAATGAAGTTTAATAATTATATTTAATGAAATTGTAGTAAAAAAAAACTTGTATCCCCGCGTGATATTTCACTATCTTTGCTTTTCACTTGACCACTGACAGACAGTATATTTGAATGTAGAGAGGCAATATTATATTATCCCCCCCCCCCCCCCCCCGACTCTATGGTTGGTGTTTGGACGATGAAAAGGTTGATTCCGACCATGGGTCCACTCCGCCCCCTTTAAACTTAACATGTCAAATCCCAATCTTGCTTGCCTAACCACTGCAAAACTAAATCTTACCACGTTCAGTTAGGTCTTGTTTCATCCCACTATAAAAATGATAACACTTATGGTTAATTAAAATTAATAATTAATAATTTGATTCGCAAATTTAGAAATTTAAAGAGAGACCATTTTTAGTTGATTTCAATAAATTATTAACTTTATTAGAATAATATATTAAAAAAGTTTTTCTTTCTATAAAAAAATATTAATTTGATTCAAATAAATAATTTAAATTTTAATCTAATAACCAATATGAATCTTGGTTAGGTACAATTATTAAAATCACAATACTAATATATTAATTGTTAAAGATGATTGATTAGATAAATTAATGTGAAAAATTAAAAATTTAAATACTACTCAAAGCAAGATTTTTAGTTAATTTGAACAATATATTGACTTAATTAGATCTTTCTATCAACATGCACATACGTGTGTAGTTGTTTTTTTATATATAAAATTAATTCATTAAATTTGACTTAATAATTAAAAAATTAATCTAGTAACTCAGTAGGGTCTTAATTAAGGAAGATTTTTAGTTAATTTGAACAATATATTAACTTAATTAGATCTCTCTATCAACACGCACATGCATGTGTGTAGTTGTTTTTTTTATATATAAAATTAATTCATCAACTTAATAATTAAAAAATTAGTCTAGTAACTCAGTAGGGTCTTAATTAAAAAAATCATAAAAATAATACATAATGTAAAATGTAAAATATAATTGACTAGATGAGTTAACATGAAAATTTAAAAATTTAAAAACTAATCTAAACTAAATTTTTAGTTAATTTAAATAAAATATTGACTCAATCATATTAATATAATTGACTAGATGAGTTGACATAAAAAATTAAAAATTAATTTAAATAAAATATTAACTTAATCATATTAATATATAAAATTACTATTTTTAATATAAAAAACAATTAATCTAATCTTACCTAATAATTCAAAAATTAATTTTAAAACTTAATAATTTAGATATTTTTTCATAATTATGCCCAAAAGATATCAAGACAAAATATCATATCAAATATCTCCGACGCTTTTTACTTTTTAATCTCCAACATCCAATCATTATAAAATATCTCAGTCTTACGTACAGCTCACCCTTTTTAAGCCTCTCTTATCCTCCAAGCCAAACACACGCCTAACTCCTCCTAACGATAACTCCATAACTGCTCACCGGAAACCACCATGTCCACCGCTGCTACCGCCGCCGCCGGAAACTATCTCTCAACTCCTACGCTCGACGCCGAATCCTCAAACCTACTCCAAACAATCTCATCCCACGGCGGCTATGCCTACGTCAGAATGTCAACTCTCGCCGCCTCCGGCGACTTCAGAGCGGCGGAGGCAGCGAGAGAGATGGCGTGGGAGCAACTCCACTCCGGTCCCTGGCACTCCGTGCTTCCAGCCTGGCGTGATGCCTACTCCATGGCTTGCTTACACGTGGCAAAGTTTCATTATCGAAATGATGAATTCAAAGAGTCGCTTAGGGTTTTGGATTTGGGATTGATCATGGGAGGTGTGCTGTTGAAGAAGGATTTGGAATCGGCTATTGAAATTGTGACAGCGAAATCGAGAGAAAAGGAAAGTGAGGGTTTTGCGAAAGGACCAAAGTGTAAATTTGTTGAAGAAGGGGATGAGTTTGATAAAGAGGAGGTGAGGTTTGTCTCTAATTCTTTTTATTTATAGAAATGTAGTGTTAATTTGCTTTTTTAGGGTTTGTTTTCTAGGAAATTTGAGATTATCATCATCATCATCATCATCAACATCATCATCATATAGCTTATTGTGGATTTTATAATTATTTTGGAACATCATCATCATCATCAACATCATCATCATGTAGCTTATTGTGGATTTTATAATTGTTTTGGAATTTTTTTTTTAATTTAAGCTAATTTAGTTTAAGGGGATTGGGATTGGATAGTTTGCTAGAGTAATTAATTTAATGACGAGCTAATTTATGATTGTTCTTGATTTACAGTAGGACAACTTTTGCTTTATTTTAGAAGGCATGAGCATGGCATGTTGCATTTATGAATTATTATTCAGGTTGGCTTGAATACTTTGGTTTTCTGATGGGGGATCTTTAGTTTGTTTAAATAGTTTGTTTAAATTGTGAGTTAGTTATTGGTGTTTTTGATATGAGCAAATAGCAGTAAAAGGATCGGTCCATTTTTTATTTTGGTGTTTTTGATTGTGTTTCGTAGCAGTATTCTTTCTGAGTTGGATGATAATTGGCATATGGTATGGTGCTAATAAGAGAGACTGCGAGCTTATGTTCAATGTGCTGTCTTTGGATTTGTAGGTGCTTCGTGCTTTACCAGAGAAGTCCTTGTCTAGTAAGATTGTGGTGAAGAAATCTGGTCTATCGTTAGAGGGATTTTTGCGTGAACATTTTCTATCTGGGTCTCCAGTTATAATTGGTGATTGTATGGCTCATTGGCCTGCCAGGACAAAGTGGAATGATATGGATTACTTGAAAAGGGTTGCTGGTGACCGCACAGTTCCAGTTGAGGTGATTATTCTTGTTTTTGTGAAATTTGATGACTTGTGCTTTTCTAATATTTCATTCATTGAAGTTCAGTAGATGTCTAATATCCATAAGATAGCTCTTTTCTACTGTAATTTTTTTTCCAAATAAGTTGTTTTTCCTGCCCATGGTAATATGTTATTTATTTGTTATTGCGATTGATTATTTCTCAAGTAGCAACCTCTGAATAAACTGTTAGTGTTGCATGTGATATTTGAAGCTTGGTGATAAAAATACCAGGGTATGTAAGAATAAAACTCAACTCTGATCAACTAAGCCCCATTTTCAAACCTAAGTTTTGAACTGTGAAGTTAAAGATTATAGTTTCATTAACCTTTTGAAGTGACAACTTGGATATAGCCTTCATTGGGAAAAAGAGTAATCTCTTGGTTTTTTAAGTTTTCCCATCCTAAGAGCTAGGTTTCTTAATTAAGGTCCTTGAAGCCAATAATGGAACCTATTAACATACAATAGGTTGAAAGAACATTTTGAGCATCTGTAATCATCTCAAAATTTAAGTCATGATGAGCTAAAACAAGTGTTCATATTTATCGCTGTGGAATGGGATGTATGGTTGTTATTCTACAACATAAGGTAATCAAAATGTCAAGTCCTTTGCAGGTTGGGAAAAACTATCTATGCCAAGAGTGGAAGCAAGAGCTTATAACATTTTCTGAGTTTCTTGAGAAGATTCAGTCAAATGACTCTGCAGTCCCTACATATCTCGCACAGCATCAATTATTTGATCAGGTGGGTTGTACTCACATAAATGAGCATCTAACCATGGGCTTCAACACATTGAAATATGCTAGCAGCTAATATTTTACATTTATTCGGCAGATTAATGAGTTACGGAAAGACATTTGTATTCCTGACTACTGCTGTGCTGGTGGTGGGGAGCTTAGGTCTCTTAATGCTTGGTTTGGTCCAGCTGGGACAGTGACCCCACTGCACCATGATCCGCACCATAATATACTTGCTCAGGTATTAAATTATGTTTCTGTGTGGAATGCCTACAATGAGATGCTGCATTTTTTCCATGTATCTTTTCTCACTGACCAGTAGCTAGATTGTGTATCTAGTCTTTTGTTCTTTTGCACTTGGAATTTCAATTTTTTTCCCTACTAGCTGTTAGGCATTGTTGCCGTGGTTATGTTTCTTCTTTTTGAGGGTTTGTGTGCATGTGAATGGCATGTTCTTGTTGAAAGCAATCTCTTCTAGGTTAAACGAGAACTAATTTGAAATACAACAATTATGATTTCAACGGTACCATTTCCACTTGATTACGTTTCTTCCACTTGCACAGTTTCTGTGCTTGTATGCCCACAGGTATATACGTTGTCAGTTTAATTTATAAGTCAACATAAATAAGTGAGCTTGTTGTTTGCTATGAAAATGTGATTTTATTTTCAGGTTGTTGGCAAAAAGTATGTAAGGCTCTACACCTCTTCATTGTCAGAGGAACTTTATCCATACAATGAGACTATGCTTTGCAATTCAAGCCAGGTAACTGCTTTCTAGCATTTTTCTCCTAATGAACCATTTCGATAAATTTGCATTATTTTGGTCATGGTATTAAATCATATTGCTGCCTACTGATCAATCTCTTCTAGACATGCATCTAATTTCTTTTGATATCCTTTCACTCTGTCTCTCTGAACAAGTTTGTGTGTCTCCATTATAGACAATGTTCTTCACAATTGACTCTCCTTTTTGAAGGTCGACCTAGACAACATAGATGACGGACAATTTCCAAAGGTGCATGACCTAGAATTCTTGGACTGCATATTAGAGGAAGGTGAAATGCTTTACATCCCGCCAAAATGGTGGCACTATGTCCGATCTCTAACAATCAGTTTTTCAGTTAGCTTTTGGTGGAGCAACTCTGAAAGTCCAGATGCATCGTGACTGCGTACTGCTTTCATGCTTGAGATTTGTTCTTTTTGATCGATAGAACTTGGGTTAGTGCTAAAGTCTTAATTAATTAGCACATTCTTATACGAACATGCATACACTAGTACTATATGCGAAAATGGAGACATCATGCCTTGTAATTCAGGATGTACTCACTGTAAGAGTAGGAGCATTAACATTATCTAGTGTGTCCGAGTTAGCAGAAAAGAGAAGCGAGTCCCCTTGCTTCTACACAGTCGGATATTCATCAATTACCATGCCATTTGCTGGCACTATGTTGTATCTCTCTTATGATATGCTGGAGTTTATTGCCAAGTCTTTGCACCCTTTGGAATTTGGGTGCCCTTTTTTGGTCTGAACTTTACTTGGGAAGAAATGATCGGTAATGATAGAACGTGCCTGACCAAACCTCCACTATCTTTCAGGATTGCTTGTATTTGTACGCGTTAAATTGGTTTTTCAACTATTTGATCACTGGAAGAAATCTCGTACCGGTTGCCTTGAGTGTTGAAACAATTCGATCTACTAGAAAAGCGCAGTACCTTTGAACACACTGAAGAGGTACCTGCTCTATACATCGAGAAAGCAGACCACCTTCAACCTTGAAATGAACACAAAAGACCTCGTTTTGGCACTTGCCCTGTCCTTGCCTTGGCATAACAGCCTCATTACATAAACCATGAGGCAGCTGAGCTACACGTTAATGCCGAATATCCATACATGCAACAGAACATGTCAATCAAACCAAAAATAGAGACCTTGGCACCTTGCTGTTCTACAGAGCGAAAGAGCAACGAGACCTTGTCGTTCAAGGGAGCCAATGAGCCATGAATATTGTTGAAAGAAAGAAACTTTGATGGTTAATCCCGCTTTTAGCCTAGTTGGTTGCGTGCGACCAAGCGGGTTTTAAGTTAGATTAAAAAAAGAAAGTGGCTTGTAGGGTTAGTTCGTGATGTGGTTGATCTAGTTAGATTTAATTCAAACTTGGTTGGGTTAACTTTAAAGAAATTAATTTTAAACGTGATGTGGTTGATCTAGTTAGATTTAATCCTTGGTTGGGTTAACTTAAAGAAATTAATTTTTAAAAAAGTAACAACATCAAAAACGATTGATTCAAGACCCGTGATTTGATCTAATACCCCATAATCAAGTTCTTTATAGAATAAGTCTCTAGATCGGGTCTGGCAGCTATGGCTATTAATTCAAATCTAAAGTAACTTTCAGCTTGGTTGGTTGTTTACCTTTCCCTTTTCACTAATAAATTCAAGGGACAGACCAGCGAAGACGTCAAAATGTGTTGTCTTCTCTCCGTGCTAATGGAAAGTTAACACCAAATACGATTTTTCCTCCCCCAAATGAAAACTCACATCTTCTTTTCAACTTTTGGCCTTTTCTTTTCATAGGGAGACCCACCACCGGGGACTCAGTCAAACCCACACCACGCAAGCTTTTCATGTTGCTGTCACATTATTAGTTTTATCACACCATGTGATGCATGAAAAAGCAAATCATTTGAATACTGATCAGACGTCGTCCGTTTCTTTTTGAACAAGGTGTTTGTTCACATTCTGATCTGGTGAAATGGTCTAACTAAGAGTTGCACACAGTTCAACAACAATACATCTTTTATTTTTGTATCGAAATTCAAGAAGTGAGATTCGAACACTGAGACCACATGCTTTCTACGAAGCAAGATTACTATCAAATTATAAATTTACGAGTTACAAATACAGTTTCTGACATGTATTATAAATTAGGTAAAACCATATGACAATCGATGAGGTTAGGCTGATCCCTTTGGCACAGCTATGTTATCCAGCAATTAATTTATCAGTACTGGCCCTGACTCAATCCGACTTGATGCCCAATTGCATGGACACTAGTGAAGGCGAGGATTGAAGTGAATCACGGGGCAAAAGCAGGCTCTTTTCTATGGAAGGCAGGGCGCCGCCACCGACTTTCAAGCCTTTTACTTGCTCACGTGAGTGCTTGGTTAGTCCCGGCGCAGGACAGGTCGGGCAAACTCCGAGGTGACCTGGCAGGCCGGTTTAATAACAGTGACCACAACAGTAAATAAGAGCAAGAACGATCTTTATTCTTGCAACTAGAACAAAAACTGCCAAAAAGGGGAGAGCAAGGAAGCCGAAAGCAAATCATTAAAGCAATGCATTCTGTTTATTAGTTTGATTTTCAAAGTCTAAAACAAATTCTTTCTTCTTAATTTTCTCCTTGACTTAAGCATCATGATTTGCCCCATCTCTCATTACAGTGGCAGCTTTGAAAAAATCATCCAATTCTTTGACAGAGGAACCTTTGAAGCCATCTTCATCTCTCATGGCATTTTTTATCATCCCCTTGACCTTGCTAGCTTGCCTTCTCATTTCCTTGCCTTTCTCTGTCTCATTCATCACCAACTCAATCTTTGCCTTCATGTCTTCATGCCTAACCTCACAAGTCTTCCCTCTAACAATCTCCACACAAACCCCCAACTCTTCTTCCAAGAACTTGACATTGAAAAACTGCTCGCCTGCCATAGCCCATCCAAGCATTGGCACCCCTTTGTTTAGTGCTTCAAGGACAGAATTCCACCCACAATGACTCAAAAATGCACATGTAGACTTATGTGACAGAATTTCCACTTGGGGTGCCCAATTATGCACAAGCAAACCTCTTCCCGAGTCTTTGATTCTTTCTTCAAACCCTTGAGGCAACCATTCTTTGGCTTTGAATTCTGAGTTTATGTCAAAACCTATTGGTGGTCTGACAACCCAAATAAAATTCTTGCCACTACCCTCCAAAGCCATAGCCAATTGCATCATCTGTGATGTAGATATTGTGTTGTTTGATCCAAATGAAACATACAGAACTGAATTCACAGGTTTTGCATCTAACCATTCCTTCAAAAAATCTGCTGAAATCCCAGCTTGTTTGCCAGCACGAGCTCTGTTATCTACTGACAACAGAACTGGCCCTATAGCCCAAGCAGGCCTGCCTAATCTCTTCCTGAAATACATCAAACCAAGCTGGTCAAACTCCTCTACTGTATTAAACAAAATCCCATTAGAATCCACCCATGCTGGTAGATTCATTCTTTGAAAAACAGACCAAGAATCACTCCCATCTGCCGTTAAAATACTTAATGGCAGTTGAGACACGTGAAATCTTGAAGCCTCTTTAAAATCTTGCAACTCAAACTCATCGGAATCCACTTCCCTATGGGGAAGTGATAACCAGACGGAGTAATAACAAGCCAAACCAAATCCACCAGCACCACTAAAGATTGCATGAAACACTCCAAGCTCTTTAGCTACAGTTGCTGTCCATCCAAAAAATATGTCAGCAATAATACAAAGTGGAGGCTTACCTCCTTCCTCTTCTACAATATCTTCAATGAGTGTTTTAAAGGCAGGTTTGAGAGAAGTAGAGGCATGAAGAAGGCGAATGATATGAGGGTAAGGAAGGATATCAGTGTTTTCTGAATTAGGAGGTAGACCATGATCTGAACTATTGAATGGGACTTCAAGAAGCTTGATTGAGGAGTTTGGTGGGATAGATGACTTGAGTTTCTTGATGTTAAGTGGGGTGTTAACAAAAGTTATGGTGTAGCCTTTTGTTTGTTCTATGTGAAGTGCTAATGCTAGAAATGGGATAATATGGCCTTGTGCCATGAATGGAAACATCACTATGTTTTCTTTTGGTTCTGCCATTGTTGTTGATGGAGGGCGGGAGGGAGGGAGAGCAAATCTTCTTCGTTTGGTAGGAGGGGATCGGGCAGGTCCTCTTTAGTCAAGGATGATTTAAAGCCATACATACAATCAATCTTGATGAGCGGCTAGTGCTTGGACTTCTGTACATTAAATTTGACTATATTTGGCAAATTCTACTAAGGAAAACATTAAATTAAGATTATTTTTTAGTTTTCAAAATTTAAATTCCATGTTAGAATTATTTTTTTAATGTACTTGTTCCAAATCGATCTAATTAAAGTCGACTAATATGATAAATTGATTTAGTAATTCTTTTTTTTTTTTAGCAAATCCTAAACCAGATATAATAACTATATTTACTTGAAATGAATAATTTAAATATAGTTACTTTTACAAGAATATTATAAAGCAATTGGAATAAAGGAGGAAAAAAAATAGACAATGACTTTAATTTGGAATCAATTCATGAATGAATTGCTTTCAAATTTATTAAATTAATAACGTAAAAGCTTATATTATACTATACTGTAATAGTAAATATAATTTTACTCATTTCCGCTCGTCTTCTTGTCCTTGTTTTTTAAAGAAATCCTCTCGTCTTCTCGATGAAGGTTTCGAATTCATGATTTCCTAATCTTCATTTAGAGTCTTCAAACCCTTGAATTTGGAATTAAGCATGTACACAAGCCACCAAGTTGTTCAAGGAAGTCAAGGTTTAGTTCCATAGTCAAAATGTGAGAGCATAGTTTTCTATGAATTTTTATATGGACTCAATAATATTATCAAAACATAGAATTATTAAAAAATAAATAAGAAAACCTATTTAAGGTGCATGAATTCATATCAATCAACCATAAAAGAAGAAAACCTATTTAAGGTGCATGAATTCATGTCAATCAACCATAAAAGAAATTAAGGGCGTGATGCTTCTTTAATGGTCAAGTTCAAAATTGACTCCTTTGTTTTTCTTTTAGTATTAGCAAAATTTAAAATTTATTGCAAACCTTATTTTCTGATCCAAGAGACTCTTTATGGTGGGTTTATTCACCAACTTGTTCAAATGTAGGTGTAGCTTCACATCCAAGTGGGTGTAAAATGATAAAATTTTATGGTACACGTAAATCAATATTGTAAATATTATATTTTATAATTAGTTATTATAAATATATTCTTATATTCTTTTAAGGTCTTAAATTTGATCTCTCTCTCTCTCTCTCTCTCTCTCTGAGAATCAAGTCTTGGTTTCATAAGTCAACTTAAAAAATTAAAAAAATAAATTTTAATATTTTATATGAAAAAATTAAAAAAAAAATCATGTAAATATATGCTATACATGTTGTAAATAATAAAGTTTTAAAAAATATTTAAAAAAAAATTTTATTTCACATTGAAAAGATATTATATTATCCTTTTAAATTAAAATATTTAAATTAAAATATTTTTATCCTATATTGAAAAAACATAATTTTTTTCAAATTTCATATTGAAAAATTACTTCTATATTGGAAACATGAATTATATATATTAAAGGATTTTAAATTTAGATAACTTTTTTTTTAAATATAGAATATATATATATATATATATATATATATATTAAAGGGTTTCAAATCTCATATTAAAAAAACAACTATATAATCATTTTAAATTAAAATTTTTAAATTAAAAATAAGTGGTTGGCCTATGGCTGCTGAACAATTCTCCAATGTCAAGCTCTTGGAAGAGGAGATTGGTGTCTGTTTGGAGGTGGCTAGAGGGAGGATTAGTGAGGTTTAGAGTGAAGATATAGCAGCGAAAATTGATCTAGCGATGAACGATACAGAGAAGGGAGAGGAAATGAGGAAGAAAGCTTGTGAGGTCAGGAACATTACCCATAATTCCATAGCCGATAAGGAAGTATTCAAAGGAGTTTCTGCCAAAGCCATCGATGATTTCTTGAATGCCGCAATGCTGATGAGAGAGCAGGCAAAAAGAATTCCAAGAAATTCTATTTCAACACAGAATAGCGGCTAACTTTTGCACTGATAGTGGCCAAGAGAATGTTCTCCAAACTCATAGGATTGTCCCCTTTAACACACAATTATTATAATAAGTGGAATTGCAATCTAACGCTAAAATTAAAATTTTCTTATGTATTTCATCAAATGTATTGGAGTGAATTGCAGCTTGCTTTCTTTTAACTGCATATTTATTTTATCATGGCTATGTTGACACTTCGCAGCATCCGAAAAAAAATTATCTGCATATTTATTTTATGATGGCTATGTTCACACTACGCAGTAGAGAATTGCATCCGAAAAAATTTGCATTTCAATTATAATTTCTAATTTTAACCAAAACTAGAAGATTTTATCAATAAATTAGGGAGAATTGTCCTTCAGCACTTTTAAGAATGAAAGAAAAGTGGCCCTTTCTCAATATTCTAGTACTGCTCGTGCAGATGCAACAAAGAACAAACAAGAATTTGATATGCAACAAATACCTCTTTCTTTAATGAAACAAAGTAAAAATCTAGGTAGTTTATCAAGTTGTTGGAACTCCAATGTAGGATTAAAAAAATAAAATAGATGCAAGGCTTCAAAACTAAATCCCATTCAAAATGTCTAAAAGATCTCAGACACTGACTTATAATAATGATTATTTTAATAATAAGATGGTGGCAATGACGATGTGGAGGTGTCGAAAATGATAGTGAGAATGGTGAAAAGGTGACGGTGGCGAGTGGTGTTGGCTGTGAGAGGGCGCGATTCTGATGGTGGCATTGAACGTATGGCGATAGTAACGGTGATAAAATGACGGTTATAATGGCTTCAGTTGTTATGGCCGGTGATGATGAGGTTGCTTTGGTTTGCAACAATGAAGTGATGGTAGTGTTCGTGATTATTGTTGAAGTACAGGTCCATACAGCCCGAGACTCCCTCTTTAAACCAGGCCTGAGTCTATTTGATGGAAGGCTAGTGGGATCACATGAAATTGGTTAGGTCCCTTCTTCCGAACTTGTATATCCGAATTATTAAATCGCTTCTCTAATTAAACCTCGATCAAGAAATTGTAAAATAAATCTTGTTGTGGATCTCTTGGGGAGTGATTAACGGTTAATTAAGTCACGGGATCAAATTTCCAATAAGTTAACTTAATTTATCGTGTAATGTTAATATAGGTTAACCTTTTTTATATGTAATTAGGTACAATATTACGATATTTAATTAGGTAATTATCATTCTTAATGTAGCAATAAGATTTTCCATGTGATTAAATCCAACCCAATTTACAAAACTCAATCTTCTCTCAATTAGGACTTACTTCAGCAATAGCCGTCATCATTACAAGAACCCTAATCTTATGTTTCTTGTCAATTAGAGAGAATTCTTCATAACCTTAGTTTTTTTTTACCCTCATGAAAAACATGGTAAGCACACTTTTTATTCCTTGAGTTTCTTATTTCTATTGCTCTGTCTTTTTTTATTTTAAAAAAATATGTAATAACTTAATTCTTTGGTTTAATATTTAGCAGGATTCTTCTAATGGAAAAGAAGGTTGCCAATCTACTCAATGCAGTTGCAATAGACAGATGATCCAAACGAGAAGTACTTTTCTTCCCTTGACTTGTTTCGGGGTTTAGTCACTTAAATATTTGGTTCTGTAAAATGATTTATATACAAAACAGAGATTTAACCATATATTTAGTTTATACCATAAGGTTCAAGGCTTATGATATAGTTATGAACATAGCACAATCCAACAGGACAACCCAGTGAGTTGTCAAAGCTTGGCTGTTTTGATAATATATATTTCATGTCAAACCACTTTCTTTTTTTTACGAATCAAGCGTTTTTTTCTTAAATTTCGATTAAAAAAAGGGTTGATCCATCAATTCATAGTTTGACTCAATCAACCAGCCATCTAGATCTTGGATTGGGCTGGATCCGAACTCAATTATATAACAATGATTTAGGATTTAAGACGAGTAGGTTAAAAATAGTTCATGTCGTTCTCTTCATAAATAGTATCACCATTTAATTAAATTTTTTTCACTTGATTTTTTTCGGAACATCTGCAGAAGGGTTAGCCGATCATGTACCGGGTCAAGCAGGCAACCCTTTAAGGGAACCTGCAGCAGCTGGCCAGGCAAATTATAACCAATACCAGTATAGGCTTATGGTGCATGGCAATGGCTACGGTTACTACAATACCTATGGGGAGAGCATGCATGCAAGATATCCATATTTGAACAATACACAACACCATTACCCATCTCCTCACGTATCCTACCCATACTATGAGCTGCCCCCCATGTACTTTCCACAAGCGCCGCCGCCGCCACGAAACGCCAGGGCTGGTGAACCTGACCTGTGCAGTATCATGTGATTTATATGAGCTATTAGAATACTGTCTTTTCTTTTTATAATGAGATAACGCAAGGACAAGATTTTTGTTGCATAATGGAGTTTTGAACCTGAATTTATCTTTTTGTTGGATTTTGCTGGCAATTTTTCTAGTGGGGTCAAATTACGGAACATGAATTTGGTGATATCATTTAACAACGTTTTGTAGTTTTTTCAAAAACTGTTCCATGTCATCGGAGATCTGACTTTAGAAATGAAACATGGAGAGCATAATCTAGGTGAAATTAGTTGAAATGAAATATTCAGGTAGCGGTTAAATACCGTATCGAGATCGAAGAGACAATTATTTTTAAAACGGATTTATTTTATATTTTTATTTTTTCAACTAAATATATTTATATTTTTTTATATGTAGCACATACAGTAATTGCAACTTGAACAGAGAATTTTGTATGTTTATGGTCAAAAGGCAAGCAATCATTCTTCATGAATCACCTGTCCTCATTGCCTCTTCTTGCCTCAGCAATGCAGCATTCAAGAACTCATCCATGGCTTTGACAGAAGACCCTTTAAAATCTTTGACAGCATCCATAATCAAATCCCTAACCTCCAATGCTTTCTTTCTCATTTCCTTCCCCTTCTCTGTCTCATCCATTACCAACATTATCTTTTTCACTATATCTTCATGCTTAACCTCACAGCTCTTCCCTCTAGCCACCTCCACACAAACTCCAAATTGTTCTTCTAAAAGCATGA